TCGAATCGTGACTTGATACACCTCTTAGTTTTTTTTTTATTTAATTTGTATTTTTTTTTATAACGAAAAAATCCGCAGCCGTTATCCGAAAATGCGTACTTGGTAAACTCCCGGTCGAATACGCATGATAATTTTGATGCTACCCATTGAGTGACTAAATTGAAGGATGTCAACACATGCATGTGAAGGTGTCAAATCAATTGAAATAAGTTGCTAGAATTGTGTAGCATTTCCCTTCTATCAATGTCCCAACAATTCTATGCTATCTTAGAGCATGCGCATCGCGGAGTACCTCTACTATAAGATACCCGGGTTGGACCTATCACATGAGCATTTTAAATTAAAAAATAAAAAATAAAAAGTTTGCTTGTTTTGTAAAATTACTGGAATGAATTTTTTTTTTTTTTTATATATACTTCATCCGTCTGAATATAATAGTCTTGTTTACTATTTTTGTCCGTCCAAAAATAATAGTCTCATTTTCATAAATAATCACATCACTATAAAATTACCCTTATTCTTTCATTATTATCACACAATTGCCACTACATTTTACACTAATACACTCACAAGGGCAAAAAAGTCTTTTACTCGTACTTTTTACCCACTATCAATATAATGTCAATATTTCTTAAATCCCGTGTCAAACGCAACCCAAAGTATAGTTCTGGGACGGAGGGAGTATAATATATTGAAAATTATATAGGTATTAGGTAGTACTCATTCCATCCCACATAGAGCTGTTAAACGAATCGAGCTGTTCGTGAACTCGGCTCGGTTCGGTTCGATTCGGCTCGGTTAAAGCTCGTTCGCGAACGTTAACGAGCCAAGCCAAACAACATAAACATGCTCGTTTGATTAACGAACGAGCCCGAACTTTGTTCGCGAACGTTCGTTTAAATAATATATTTATTATAAATATTATATATACATATAAAATTATAATTTATAAATAAATAAAATATTAATTTAAAATATATAAATAAAATAATTTTAAATTTTCTTTATAATTTATATATAAATTTAAATAAGACGAACGAGTTCGAACGAGCTTAATCGAGCCTAAACGAGCCGAACACGAACACGAGCTCAAACAACAAAAATTCTTAACGAGCCGAGCTCGAACACGACGAACGAGCTCGAAAGCTTAACGAACGAACACGAGCCTTGTTCGCGAACGTTAACGAACACTTAAAATTTGGCACGGCTTGGATCGTTAACAACTCTAATCCCACATAAAATGTCCATATTTTTCATTTAATTCGTCCCATATAATTTATTCTTTTCTTTTTTTGAAATATAATTATACATTTTAATCTCATTTTAAATTTCATAATTTATATATTTTTTTAATCTTAACTATATTGTTTAGTTATATATTTTAATCTTAATTTATAATTATTTTTATTATATCATAATTATTTTTACTAATACACTTCTTAATTACTTATTTATTATATTTACCTAAATTCTCATGTTTATAGTAACATGGACAATTTATCCGGAACAGAGGTAGTATAAAAATAATGAATGTGTATAATATATTAACAAACAAACCGAGAATATCCCATGAGAAATTTTACCTTTTGTTTCATTTTATTTTTATAAGATTTATATTTATTATTATTTATATAAATTGTTATTCTATACACAATGATATATATATTGATACATAAAGTGTCCAGTTTTTCTATTTTCGTCTGTTTTACATAATTTATTTTTTTTTTTCGAAAATATAATTATACATTTTAATCACATTTTAAAATTCACAATTTGTTTTAATTAAACTATTTAGTTATCTTAATTTTAATTTATAATTATTTATTATTTTTACTAATACACTTCTTAATTACTTATTAATTATATTTTACTTAAATTCTCGTGTCTATGGTAGACTGGACACTGTTTTTAAGACGGAGAGGGTATTTATTTTTTGTTGTGATGGAAAAAAACAATAATTTAGAAAACATGAAAAATAATGTGGAGTGTTAGAAAATAATTTTATAAAATTTCTTTGTTTGCATATGTCCTTAGAGCATCACTAACATCATGTTTGGTTTACGCCTTTGGAAGGATCCTTAAATCCTAACGAATTTATATTTGGATATAAAATTGACGATGAAACTTTCAAATACTACAAATGATTTTTTTTTTAATAGTATGATACTCTTTTTACTTTAAAATATTATTCAAATTATATTTTAATTTTTACCTTTATACTCTCCTGTTAAAAAAATAAAATCTATTTTTTGATATTATATATATTTATATTTAATATATTTGGTTGGTTCCATAAAATATAATATTTTAACTAAACATACTACTATAAATACATATATTTATTTATAATTATTAATTTTATTTATATTTAATTATATTAGCAATGATATTTTAAATAAATTAATAATTTTAAAATTGTTTGCCGGGTGTGTTAGTTTTGCATTTTAAATTTGAGCTATTTTTTATATTAGGCATGAGAAAGAATATTTGTAATATAAAAAATAATATATTATGTTGAACTTGTTGTATTTTTTAGCGTAGAGATTATATATTTTATATGAACTTGTATATGTCATATTTTTTAGTGTTGATCGGAAATCATATTATTATTTTCTTAATTAGAGCATTCCCAATTTGGTAAAAATATAAATAAAATTAAAAAAAAAAAAAGAAGATGGATATAGGAGTTTAATTTATCACAACAAATAAAATTTATGAAAGGATAATTATGTCATTTAAAATATAAAAAATTTAAATTCTTCCATCTGCAAAATAAATTAGATTTGAAAAATATAAATCTTGGATAACTTTACTAGCCAAACGTAGAATAAAATTCAAAAACTTAGATATAATAAATCATATCACATATAAATCATACTGTAAAATTTCAATCATATAAAAAACAGTATGTGAACAAAATTGTTTATCTTTATTCAACCAAAAATTACTATCATATGGACCAAAAATTCATATATCTTTGGTTGAGCGCTATAAGGTACTGTAACGGTCTTGAAAAGAATAGTACACAGAAGGTTATACTTACAATAGAAGACAATTATACCTATACAAGTTCAAAGTTGTACCTATATATGAATTACGTTGCACTTGACTTTTCTTAATCCTGTACATGTACTAGAAGATGTTGGGTATTTAAAAGATGAAAGAGGAATATGAAAAGACTATCCCACATTGAAAACATGAAGAGTTTTTATGTCTCTTTATATGAATATTCATCTTATTTATGATAAATTACAAAATTGGTTGGGTTAGAGTTAGTTTGGACTTATTTAAACTTGGACTTTGGCTAAATTAATAGTCAAAGATAGAGTCTTGGGCCTAAAAATTAATAGTCAAAGATAGAGTCTTCGATGAAAAATACTCTCCTCATATGCAATGCTCGAATTCATTTAAATCTGTTTTTCGATCTCATTATCAGATTTGGTAATTTGATTCACATCTTGGATTCACTATTCATTACTCAAACAGAAGAAATGTGTACTTCAAGATCAAAATCGATAATTTTTTTATTATTTTACCACTGTATTCGAATGCAGCTATAGATATATTTCAACAAGGAGCACATACTCTACAAATCACAAGAAAAATTTATGACAATACAATGTCATTTTTTATGCAAGTGCGCATTCACAATCTCAAAATTCACTTTCATCACCACATTTAATGTGAGACACAAGAAGAAACTATTTTGAACATGTAGTATTGTTCGCGCACGATAAGGGAGTGAAATCACCTCGAAAAATAGTAGATGGAATATTGTACCTACAATGGGAACCAAATTGCATTTAACCGTCCCTAATGTTGTACTTGTACTTAATAAATACTTGTTTTTGACGAAAACACAACGAAAATATGTCATATTTCCACCAAAATAGATATTTTCTTGACTAAAATCTATTATTTTAAGCGGAAACACAACATATTTTCGCAAACTAGCGAAAAGATGTTGTACTGAACACAATAAGTTTTTAAAATTGTATATTTGTTACTTTTTAGCTGGTAACATTATATTTATTAAGCGGTAATATCACATTTTTGATAAATTTGATAAATCTTTCGGTTATTGAAAGTAATATTCTTATGTACTGATAAACCAAATTAAAATACAAGTGAATGTCACAAATAATTTAAGTTTAATATTTAATCAACGAAAATAAAATATTTACCAGACATACAACGAGGAACATTCATACAACTTGACCCTACTAACAAGACTTGACCGCATTCAAAATATATTTCGTTTCGCAATGATTGTGTGATAATCATTACCAACTACTTCTTTTATTTTACTTTGATTACTAACTTCTTTGTCCACACAAGGTAATATATGTATCCAACAAATTTAAAATTTTTAACACAAAAGAAATTTATATTTAACAAACATACATAATTATTATCAACGCAAGAAAACACAATAAATAAACAAACACTGTGATTATATTTTGAATATTTTTAACATATACAACCACACAAGAAAAATGTACACGGATAAATATAAAACTATTGTACACAATAAAAAAAACAAATAATACAAAAAGATAAAATAAAAAATCGAGAATAATACAAAATTTAAAATGCATACTTACTTCTAATAGAAAGCTATTGTGGATGGGGGCAGGCGGACGATAGGCGAAGTAGGCGAATGGCGACGAGTGCGGTGGTGATTTTAGTCGAACATAGATCGTTAAGACAAGAAAATATCGAACATGTTGAAGATTTTGAATTAAAAAAATAGTAAATAATTTTAGGAAATAAAAAATAAAATGAGGTAGTTTTAAATAATTTTTTATGATTTCCTAGTATGTGAATTGAAATTTGAATGTAAAATTAATTTTTAATATAATATAAAAAATAAAAAATAAGTATTTAATTCGATAATTTTAAGAAAAATAATTTTGATAAATAGCAAAGGTTTGGGAAAGTCTCCCAAACAAACAAAGACAACCAATTGTGAAATTCTACATGTTTACTGAAAATGGGACAATTATGGGGGATCTGAAGATAAACAATTGAATTTTGTAAGAATGGATATGGATTTGGAATTGTAAATTAAACATTGGGATAGTATTAATCTAATTTAAAAAATCTAAACCCCTGAAAGAGAATAATCAGCTACCGCAGTGGAATTCATCTTCCCCTCTTGTCTAGGGTCAGGTCAGGGCTCAATTTCTCATCCAATTTTGCGTTGAATTGAAGTTACTGTGGTTATGGATCTTCAGAGCTTGGCAGCGATTTTGCAAGGTGCACTCAGCCCCAATCCTATCGAACAGAAAGCAGCCGAAAGGAGTCTCAAACAGGTTATTTGAGATTCATATAGTTTTTTGGATTAAATATATATGCATAAATCTCGGTTTTGTTCAAGTTCCTGATTGAATGTTAGATGGACTGGGATGAACCTGGGAAGAATGGACATCGCGTTTTTGCCACTTTGCGAAATCTTGTGTGTTTAATGCTTAGATGAATTTGAAATTTTGTAAGTGATTGAAGCGTGCCCTGTGCAGTATGAGTATGCGCCGCAGCACTTGGTGAGGCTGTTGCAGATTATAGTTGAAGTGAATTGTGATATGGGGGTTAGGCAGGCGGCCAGCATTTCTTTCAAGAATTTTATTGCTAAGAATTGGGCGCCACATGAATCTGGTAAACTTTTGTGACAACAGGTTAACATAGATATGTTGTAATTGCTTTTGTGATTTTCTCTCTCTCTCTTTCTTTCTTTATTATCGTCATATCATTATTATTTGCATTGAGGATGCTTGAAGGTGTATAAAAGTTAGTGCTTCCTCCTAAGGAATTGGTGATTGGTATTAGAGCTGGTAGAAATGAGAGTTGCTTCAATTATCTAAAGTTGTAAAGCTTCTGTTCCATAATGAAAAATGCATAAACAAAGACAAGACACTTTTTTTTTTTTTTTTTTTTCCTTCCTGCTCTAAAGGCAAATTTTGAGTACAATTTGGTTGGATTTTGCTATAATGTTTGTAGCCTTTGCTTGGAGGTTTACAGTCAGTATTTTCATTAACTATGTATCTTGAACATGATCTTTGACTGTTTAATTAATTGCATAATATAATTAAGGCACTATCTTTAATATGCTGTGGTATTTCTGTCCAATTTAAGAGTGGATGGTGTAAAGGGAAGTTGCAATCACACATAATTTTTAAATTTCATTTTGTAATAGGTGTACCATCAAGGATCTTGCCCGAGGACAAGGAAGTAGTGAGACAGAACATTCTCAATTTTATTGCTCCAGTTCCTTTACTGTTAAGGTATTTTTAACTGCTTTAAATTTATTTTTCTTGCGACTTATTGTGGCGACGATCAATGGCTGAACTATGTAGGGGCAAGGGGGCATAATTACTACATATTTAATTTTCTTGATAAGTAGATATATAGTATAAAAAGATAATTAAAAGAAAGATGAAAAATTAGAGTTTGTTTTGTTCTAGTTTCAAATGAAAGTTATTATTTATTGAATTTGTATATTTTTAATAAAAATATCATACTAAAATATTATTTAAACAAAAAATTAAATAATAAACTCAAATTAAAACCAAATGGGAGTGAGGCAATTTTAATAATTTGTTAAAAAGTAAAATTTTTCTTCTTAAAAGAAAAGGAAAAAGAACAATACAAGAATAATTATACACAATATGTAACTGATATTGTTATAGATTATTTTCTATCAATAATTTTAAAGGCAGGTGTTAGGGTATTGTCTCAGTGACAATACTGTGTTGTACATATCATAAAATACGGTGACTGAGACTAATTGTGTTGACTACTCCTAATAGATAAATGCCTTTTTATATGTAAATAAATTGGCGTTTTTCTATAATTTTGAAGGTTTAGCCCCCCCATTGATCGGATTCTAATTCCGCCTCTGGCGATGATAATTTACAAATGATTGAAAGTTGTAGCAGTTTCTATCTACATGCATCAGATTAGGTTTATTGAATTGACATTTTCAGTCCATCCTTTTTGATGTTATATAAGATCTGTGGTTGTCAGGCCAAGTGCACTTGGAATCTTGAATAACTTGTTAAGTATCTCTTTATTTTATACTAACATTTTGAATCGTTCTTGTGGTATAAACAGGGCACAGCTAGGTGAATGCTTGAAGACTATCATACAAGCAGATTATCCAGAAAAATGGCCAAAACTTTTGCCCTGGGTGAAACATCATCTGCAGGATCAGCAAGTTTTTGGAGCTCTATTTGTACTTAGGATTCTTTCCAGAAAATATGAGTGAGCTCATACAAAGCGTGCTCATTTAATATTTTATCTTGCATTTGCTTTCCAATCAAGTATATGTTATGTGCATATGGATGTCTCATATTTGTTTAACCATTGACACTAGTTACTTTGGAAGGTATTCTCATGTTATTCTTATTTTTATTTGTTTATTTATTTATTTATTTATTTTCTGTGTCCTGATTGATTCTCGCTCATTTAGTTTATTCTGAATCAGGTAATCTATATAATTCTTCTTGCATATTATTTGGTTGTCCCGAAATAGTGTCTCCATGTTTCCAGTAAGCATTCATGAGGTCTTGAAATAATCTGAATGTATAACTAGAATGCATAAAATATCTGCTTCCATGCTTGAATGTGTTAGATGAATTAAATGATGTCGTACCCTAACAGCTTAAGTTTTTAGGTGTGACGGTCATTTACTTCATTTAACATGGTATCATAGCCTAGGCTAGGTCTCGAGTTCGAGTCTCAACGTCATATGCAAATTTCGCATACACCTGAGGAGGGGGGGGGGGGGGGGGGAGGGGGCGCGCATCCAACAGAATGTTAACTTGTCTCCGCACAAATGCATTGTCTGGATGGGGAAGCTATAGAACTTATTTGCTGGTTATTTGAGCACAATTTTAACATGAGTTCTTAATTAAAGAAATGGGGGATTGACTATTAAATATGATTTGGATTGATTTTCAATGTTGTAGTTTTGAGGATATATTTTGATGGTTGTAGGAAGCTTTTGCATCATGCTGTACGCTGAGCCATTGAAAACTGGTATTTATATTGAGTTTGCATATTTATTCTACTTTAGCATGTCTGACACCTTTGCATTTTTGGTTTAAGTGATGAAAGTTCTTATTCCTTCTATCAATTCTTCACAGAAGTTTCGTGCATTCAACAGACACGCGCATACACATATTTTCGTATTACAGCAACAACTTTTGTTAAAAAGGTCAACATACACATGATAAATCTTTTAGCATTTTGTCAAAAATGAGATTTATAATCTCATCCACTTCGCTTTTTCTCCCATGCCTTTGTGAAGTATCCTTTATTGGTGTAAGCAAAAACATCTTTTGTACTCATGTCAGTAGTGTGTACTACATGCAGGTTCAAATCAGATGAAGAGAGAATCCCTATCCATCACATTGTTGAAGAAACATTTCCTCATCTGCTTAACATCTTTAACTGGCGTGTTCAGATTGCTAACCCTTCCATTGAAGAAGCAAATTTGATCAAGCTTATTTGCAAGATATTCTGGTCATGTATCTATGTAAGTTCATATTCCTGTTGTTTGAAGCTAGTTATGACTGCCTGTGGATAATATCTGTTAAATATCAGCACAAACATTTCTTTATAACAGCTTTTGCACTTACTAAAGACCCTTTGTATTACTAAGTACCCAGAGATACTACATGCTTTCTCATTTTAAACTCTATAAACATTTAAATTAATTTTTTTTAAAAAAAAAAAATCGTTAATTTGTACAATTCTGCCCCGCACCCAGTTGGAGATTCCAAAGCAGTTGTTTGACCAAGCTGTATTCAATGCCTGGATGGTACTTTTCTTGAATATATTGGAGAGGCCCGTTCCTGAAGAAGGACAACCTGCTGATCTTGAGCTTAGAAAATCATGGGATTGGTGGAAAGTGAAGAAGTGGACAGTGCACATATTAAATCGTCTTTTTACACGGTATGTAGAAAGTGATACACTTAATTCTCTCTATATAATTTTTTTTTGGTCCGAAATATGATTGAAGTTAGGCTGATCTTTCCTTGATCACTTCGTTTGTAATAGGTTTGGAGATGTGACACTTCCAGATCCCGAACACAAAGCTTTTGCCCTAATGTTTCAGAAGAATTATGCTGGGAAGATATTGGAGTGCCATCTAAATATGTTGAATGTGATTCGTATTGGTGGATATTTACCAGAAAGAGTAATCAATCTAATGTTGCAATACCTTAGCAATAGGTATGTATACCAAATACGTATACCCATATATCTATCTGTTACATTGAGTATTGTATGTGTTATATTCTCTTACTCCCCACCTCCCCTCTTCCTAATATTTTTATTGCGCATGTGCACATTGAAGGGCATGGGAAGACTAACTTGATCTTCATATTTGTTTATCAACTTTAATATGTTGAAAGAAAGTACAAGATACTAAAAACCGTAGATTAGATATACCATCCCTCGTGGTCCATGAATAGATATGCTTTGAAGTATGGTTAGGGGATTGAACAAACAGAGAGCTCGGGAACTTTAAAAATATAATTGCTTGGTCAGCATCATTCCTTCTCAGGGATGAATAGCAAAGAAGCTTGCTTATTTGCCTCTACGGCCTGTTTTAGTTCATTCTCACTCTCTATCTTATAATATCATAAATAGAGAAGAAACTGTGGTTATTTAGCTTTTCTCCCTTGTCGGGGACAATGGGATCATGCCATCGGACAGATGTACGCATCATTCTCTACCATGTTGTTCTCATTTTTCAGTCGTACAATGTGATTTTCATGACTTTGTTTTTTTTAAAAAAAATAGAAATTTCTTTTATATCTAGTTACAAAATATTCTGTAATATTTTTTAGGCTCCCTGGCATCACATTTCAAGATTTATGACATCTAATGTACTCTGTGTTCTTGTCACCATGCAGTATCTCCAAAAGTAACATGTACAATCAGCTGAAGCCAAAACTTGATGTTGTCCTTTTTGAGATTATCTTTCCATTGATGTGCTTCAATGACAACGATCAAAGACTTTGGGATGAAGACCCGCATGAGTATGTGAGGAAGGGATATGGTCTGTTTGAATTTACTTCTAATGCCATTTATAATTTATTTATGATCAAGTTTGGCAGTTCTTTCAAATATTGAGTTGTGCTGCATTTTGATTTTCTTCGAATGCTTCTGCAGATATAATTGAGGATTTATATAGTCCTAGAACTGCTGCGATGGATTTTGTGAGTGAGCTGGTTAGGAAACGTGGAAAGGAGAACCTTGAAAGATTCTTACTATTTGTTGTAGAAATCTTTAAGAGGTCTACCGCATTATATCATAATCATTTGACATTCTTTGTGTGAATTCAGTAATTTTCTCTCTGAATATCATTATTTCTTTAAACTAGATATGATGCGGTAGCACCTGAATATAAGCCATATAGACAGAAAGATGGTGCCCTTCTTGCAATTGGAGCATTATGTGACAAACTAAAGCAAGCTGAACCGTACAAATCTGAATTGGAGCTCATGCTTGTACAACATGTGTTCCCAGAATTCAACAGTCCTGTGGGACATCTTAGAGCTAAGGTATGTTGATTTATTGCTGTATTGGTTGTTTCTTTTCTCACACTATAGCATCCAGACTTAATAAATTATTCATAATTTGGTTCTTTATATCTTCGGACATTTTTAGTATGATGGATACAATTATAGTTCTAATGACCATTTTAACCGGTTAAATACATTGGTAAAAGTTAATATCTTGTTTAAATTAATGAATTGAAAAATATTTGATAGTTGATTATTTATTATAATTATTATTTATTACTATGTTCTCAAATAAGCCCACTTGAAAATTTCATTACATGTTAATGATAAGTTCAACTAATGGAGATATGATTAGTTTTTCCAATTAAATTAGGATTGTATAATCCCCTGTATAATATTGTATTTTAATACACCATTTCAGTGTCATTATATCTGGTCTGAAATTCATCTACAGCATATGTCTAACAAACTGAAATGGGATTATACTAGATAAAAATAGTTTTTCTGGTCTAATCACATGTGCTGAAGGGCCATGGGATGTATCATAGATTCATGGATGTGCTAAAAACTTTGTACTTTCTATCCCATAATTACTAAGCGAATGTAAGGATACAAAATTTTGTTTTATTTTATGGAGCTTTAGCCTTTCTGTGTCATTTTATTATATTGATATTAATTAGAAAAAAGTTGTTTGATCCTTGTAGCTGGGTAGACTGTATTTTCTATCTTCATTCTTTAGTTGTGCTTGTTTACTCTTTTTATCAAATGTATTGGATTGTAGGCTGCATGGGTTGCAGGGCAATATGCTCACATCAATTTCTCTGATCCAAACAACTTCCAAAGAGCATTGCAAAGCATTGTTGCAGGGATGCGTGACCCAGAGCTTCCTGTTCGTGTCGACTCTGTCTTTGCTTTGCGCTCTTTTCTTGAGGCCTGCAACGGTGCGGTTTTCCTTGTTTATATTGCCTTAGTTTATTTTGTGCTCTTAAACTTTCTATTGCTAACTAGCTTTTTTATTTCAGATTTGGATGAAATCGGTCCCATTCCACAGTTGCTTGATGGTATATCATTGTGAATATCATTTTGGGCTTGCACTTCATTAGGCAACAGTTACTAAATGTTTTTTTTTTTATCCTTCTGCATCCATGTTCTCAGATCTTTTTAAACTCATGAATGAAGTTGAAAATGAAGATCTTGTATTTACTCTTGAGACAATGGTAGATAAGTTTGGAGAGGAGATGGCTTCCTATGCTTTTGGTTTATGCCAGAACTTGGTGAGACCATTATTTGAATGATTAAAAACCACAGTTATATATGATCTTTTTAATCATATACTTTTGGTCAGGCAACTATTTTCTGGAAGTGCATGAACTCTGCGGAAGCAAATGAAGATGGTGATGATCCTGGTGCCTTGGCGGCCGTTGGTTGTTTACGTGTCATAAGCACAATCCTCGAATCTGTCAGCAGACTACCCCATCTCTTTGCAGATATAGAGCCAATTTTACTGCCAATAATGCATAAGATGTTGACTACTGATGGCCAAGGTACCTATCCTTTTCTCATATGCGTAATTTCTCTTTGGAGCTTGTTTAAGATACTGATGAAGTCTTGGGGATTATCTGTTGTTGGAAAACATACTGATACTTCAAAGATATTCACATTAGAAACATGAGGAAAAGACATTTTTTTATTTGCCCTCTATGATATCTTGAAGGAAAATGGGAATTTTCTAGCCAAACGAAAAGTAGAACAGTAGGTAGATATTGCCAATAATACACAAGATGTTGATTACTGATGGACAATGTACCTATCTTTTTCTCATATGCATAATTTCTATTTTGAGCATGATTTTCCTAAGATACTGATGAAATCTAAGGGATTCTCTGTTGTGGGAAAAACATGCTAATGCTGCAAGGACATCATAATATTAGAAACATACAAGGAAAATATATCCTTCTCTCTCTAGAAGGAAAGGAATTCTGTAACTGGATTAAACGTAGTACATTAGGCAGATATATGATAGATGCTCTGGGGGCTAATCGATAAAGGCTAACAACCAAACAATAAGATCAGAATGCACAGAGGCACCACATTTTGCAAAGAAGTCTGCCAATCAGTGGAGCATGGTGGCATGGGTTCAAAAGGATATGAATGCCCATCTGGATGTGAGGTACTGAAGCTTATTTTTATCTGGGGGGATCACAGCAAACTAGGTTTGACAATTTCCTGACTAATAATTTAAGATAGGGATGTCCTGTAGGTGGTTAAGTAGGGAAGCTAAAGAAATATCCATACCAGGAAAGGAGGCATGGACCAGTCACCAAGTAAAAGGTAGACACTAAATATGACCCATTTTGCTGAGGATTCCTCATTTGTAAAGATCACCAATTTCTGCCTTAACAATAAGGGTGTTGTGATAAGTTGCCTCCAGATTTTGGTGTTGAAATTCTTGTTTGCTTAATTATGCCACCTTTGAAGCTGCTCAATCCTGAAGATGGAAATGCCCAATACATATTCTGTAGCCTTAGAAAATGTGTCCATATAGCTGTCTCTAATGGACAAAAAGAAGAAAAAAAAGCGATGGGAAGCTAATCAGTGTGATTTCAGCAAAGAGGAGTGAGCACATATGAGATTGTAGCGACGGGAGTAGCGAACTTCCTACCTGGAGGTCTCCCTGGGCTAGTGTCCATATAATGTTATTGACTTGCTTGCGGCATTTTTTTCCTAGATGAGAGAACCTAGAGTCCAAGAGTGAGAACTGGGACAGTCTGTGATCCAATGGAAAGAACGACAACTGAAGACTTCATTGGAGACAACAATTTTTCCTGCATCCATGGCTAATATATGCACGGCAGCCAGGAAAACTTGGTGAAGTTGGCTGTTGATCCTCAACAAGTGAAAGGAGGGAATAATCAGATCCTCCTTTCTGATAATGTTTCTGTGTGGGGGTGGAGTGGAATAGTAGATTCCTAGATGTTGCCCAAGTATGTGTGGATTTGAAGGCTCCATGCAGAGGAAGAACAAAGTTGCTTAACCTAAATTATACAGGGAGCAGAGTTGTTGATTAAGTGATAATTCTTTGTTGTCACTACAGGTGCTGAAGATTCCCATATAAGCATTTCAACCCAGTGAAAATCAGCCTTTCTGTGCTTTTGAGAGCTGCTCTTGGCAACAAGGTCTCTGTGGGAAAATGAAAGGAGCTGCAATGCTGGAATAGTGGAGTTTGAAGGGCGCCTCCTGTAGGGCTTAAAGGTTGATTGGTGGTGGAGGGAAAGATGATGACAGGGAGGCATTTACAGGTGAGGATTTTGGTTCAAAAGGTGCCTTTATTTAATAAATTCCTTTAAAGAGCCCTTGTTTCGGTAAATAAAAGATTAGATAATAATTATCATATGCCGCATTGGAAGATCGCTGCACTATGCTAGCAATTCTTGAAATCAGTGTGATGAGTCTTATATAGGAGAAAAGTACACACTTTGTACAGTTTGACTGCTAGGTTAGTTGCAGCTTTACTCCTTTACCTAATGTGGTGACTTAGTGGAGTATGAAGTAAAAGCTTTTTTCTTGTTTTTTGTAGGATTTTGTTTTATGTAAAACTTGCACTCTTGCTCTTACGATACTGCTAGGGTGGGGTGAATACTTGTGGTTTCATCACATTGGCTCTGTGTCGGGATTTGGAATATGAGGACCTAGCATCACAGTATACTTCAATTATTATTTACCTTGAGTTTTTGTCCACTTTTCCTAAAGGTCTTAATTGAATTTGTTCTTGTTTACATTGCTTATATGCAAAAGTAAATCCTACAGATGAATGAGTGTACTGTTTGATATTGAAATACTATGTTTAGTTTCTTATGCTTGATTTCTCTTCATGCTAAGCTTCACTGAAAATTGGTCATCCAGCTAGTCATTTAATTTTGTTTGCATATGTAGAGATTATAATAATGAACATCTGATATGTTGGTTTTATGATCTGGATGCTCTATTCTAGAACAAGATATGGGCCATATGTCTGCGTAATATAGGTTAGGGAAAAGCTTGCCAACTTCTGGCTCAAGAGAGAACATCTTAGAACTTGGCATTTGATTTTGTATTAGAAGCAAAGAACTTTCCATTTGTTACACTTGTTTTTCTTCTTCTATGTGATTCTGCAGATGTTTTTGAGGAAGTTTTGGAGATTGTATCATCTATGACTTTTTACACTCCTGCTATATCGCTCGAGATGTGGAACCTTTGGCCGAAACTAATGGATGCACTGGCTGATTGGGCAATTGATTTTTTCCCAAGTATGTAGAATCTTTATAATCTTATTATGTGTGGAAGTCATTTCTGATAGTTACAATGACTTATAGCTTGCTTTAATATTTATTTTTTATGTTTTGTTTGTTCTTTTTCTGTTTTACAGTTGTAGACTAGATATCAAAGACCTTTTATCCATGCTAAATCAATCTCCATGCTTGGTTCAAAAATCCGCTGCGTTCTTTTGTAGATTTCTCACAAGATTTTTACTATTGATTTTATATTTTTTTCCTTAAAAAATATCAAATCAAACAACTCATTTTCATTTACTATTGATTTTATATTTTTTTTCTTCAAAAATATCAAATCAAACAACTAATATTCATTTTTTATATTATATTAAAAATTAATTTACATTCAAAATATCACATCGAACATTTACTTATATCACATCAAACAATTATTCAAATTCAAACTTTACTATTCAAAAATCCAAACCCAAATATCAAATCCACAAACAAACACACCCAAACTTCTCCTCATAGTTTGATTACTTTCTCCATACTGAGTTTCCAAGGCCATATAAACAAAACATTTTGCATTAGCTTGCCAATTTTCTGTTCGTTTATTCTTTAGCCATTTGGCTAAATTGATTTATTTTCCTTTTATTTGTTCAATAATACATAAATTTTTTATTATATTTTGGTGGCATTACTTTGTACCTTTTGGCTTTTGATTTGTGATTCCTGAGTATCACTGTTTTTTCGTAATTCAATATTTAGTGAAGGATTTAATGGTTGTGTTGTTTGATATAGCATGGTTGGAACTTGTAAAATGACAGAATACACGAAAAAAGATCCATGTTTATTTGTGTGCTATTCTATTATGTGACTTTATCTTTGCCCACATCCTATGTCCTTGCAATATCTGTGTTGCTTATCTACTTTTTTCATTCTTTTCATAACATTAGAATTGATTTTTCCCTTTTTATACACATCCTTAGTGCAATTTTTTATCTGAGAACCTGCTTTGGAACTTGTCTTTTCCAACTGTGGTATGACCCTGGATTGCTTATCTACTTTGTCTGATGTCTTCTAGTAATGCAATAAACAAGTGTTATTTACTGCTCAATCCCTGTGGTTGTGAACTGATCAGATATCTTGGTTCCATTGGGTAACTATATATCCAGAAGCACCGAGCATTTTTTGACATGCAAGGAACCTGATTATCAGCAAAGCCTTTGGAAAATGATTTTATCTGTGAGTTGATCTTTTGTCTGAAGTTAACCCCTACATAGAAACCAAGCTTTTGAATGATATATAACGAAGCCTTTATATCAATCATGCAGATCATGAGTGACAAAAATTTGGAGGATGGTGATATTGAGCCAGCACCTAAGCTCATTCAAGTGTTATTCCAAAACTGCAGGGGGCGTGTTGATCAATGGGTTGAACCTTACTTACGAATCTCCATCGAGCGTTTGCGTCGTTCTCAGAAACCTTATTTAAAATGCCTTTTGATTGAAGTGGTACGTAGTTAAACTCAATATCTTAGTGGTCTAATCTTCTACAATCTCCAATGAGTATTCATACTACATATAGAATGTACTTCTAGAATAGTTCATCTCCTGATATTTTATATGTGTGGGTATATATATCTTTGTCCGAATTTAGTTATTACCAAATTATTTTATCCATAGCCATGTACATGCCCAAACTCATGTTTAATTTATTGTTTTTATAAAAAGAATAATTAGTCTAGTCTTTATTGCATCATTTTTCATATGAAAAAATCAAATAAATTGTCACACATATTTTAAGATGTAGTCTTATCACACATCCAATGGGGATTGATAGAAAAGTGCAATACCTTGCTATTCTTTGTCACTGTTCCAAGCCTTTGAACTTATAGGTTATTGGCGGTGTTCTTCCATTATATGGAAACATACATTATTTTTGAAATTAGAATGCATTGTTTGGTTTCATGGATTTTCTTTAACTGAATTACTACTTGTTAGCTACAATTGGTATACTCTGCTTCATTGATCACTGAAATCTAAGTGAATGCTGGGATGTAGAGATGTCAGTGTGGTTTCATTTAAACATGAAATCCTCCCTACACCCTGCCCCTCTTGGTTGATGTAATTGGGTTTTGGGTTGGAACATCTGAAAATCCATTTAGGCTTGAATTAGGTTATGGACCTAGGGTTCAACCCCTTCGAATAATAGATAATATTAATTTATAAATTTTGTTTTCATTAATCCTTTAGATTATATTTAAGCACCAATGAGGTTATGCATAGGATTTGGGTTGAGTTAATTGGGGCTGGTTGGGGGAAATTTTGAGACAAAATGGTGGTGGTCATAAATTTCTTTCAGTTTTGTTTTCCCTCTTTGTGAAGCATATTTCCTAAATGTGCTGAAGACACTTCGGAGAGTTAGTTCTTCGTCAGGAACTGAGTTCTTTGACTCTTAGATTGTAATTTGGTTGGTTCTTAGTTTTCTTGAGGGAGATTGGCTGTTAAGCCATGTTCAAGCAGGATTATTCGCACCTTTGTGTTTGGTTGCGTTTTGGATATCTTAATGCTGAATTTTAAAATGTGCAGCTTTTAGCTAATATTACTAGAAACCTTTCGGCATTACCTTTTATAGGCATCCTGAACTGTTAGTTACGGATGCTACGATTACTAATTGGCTACTTAATCTTTTCTGATTAAGGGTTAGATGGAGAAAGGTGAAATTGCGCAAGAGAACCGACTTAGCTTTAATATTTTATATGATTTTCTGAGTTGAATGTTACCGAATTATTTCTACTGGTAGGTGTCATATTTGGTTAGAATGATTTTTGACAGGTTGCTGATGCTCTGTATTATAACGCACCATTGACACTTAGCATATTGCAAAAGCTTAATGTTGCTACGGAAGTATTCGGCCTTTGGTTCCAAATGTTACAACAAACTACGAAGAGCGGAGCTCGTGCTAATTTTAAAAGGTGTTCATTATTTTATTTTTTTTCCGTTAGATTTCTGTGCCTTATGCATGTTTAATTGTCACACTAATTATTTCGATTTTCAGGGGACAAGATAAAAAAGTGTGCTGTTTGGGCTTAACATCATTGCTCTCTCTACCTGCCAATCTATTGCCAGGAGAAGCATTGCTCCATTTTCTCAAGGCTACTCTCGGTCTACTTGTTGCCTATAAAGAGCAGCAACGAGCAGGTTTTTTCTTGCCCTAAACCTCTTTTAAAGCGAATAGTAAACAAAATCCTTATTGCGTAAGTTGCTTTAATTCTCCTATATCTCCTTATTCATTTGATTTGCAATTTTAAGCAGAATCTGGAAAGGAGGATGCAGATGCAGATGCAGACGCAGACGCAGAGGTTGAAGAGGCAGACACTGATGACATGAGCAGTATTCAATCTGATGATGACGATGATGATTCTGACAGGGGTATGGGGGTTGATGATGAGGATGGAGATGAAGCTCATACTCGTAGACTTAAAAAATTGGTTGCTCAGGTGTGTGTTTCTTTTATGGAATTTTGAATAAAGATGAATGAAAATTTGACAAGAATATGGTATTCGAAGTTGTTGCATATAGTCTAGGATGCTTTCTATGATTTATGTCCTGCATAGGCGTGTCTTCATGGGCTTGTGACATTTGCATAATCTATGCCATTCCGTAATACAACATGCTATATTGGTAAGAAGAATATAAATTTCTCCACCTGTAGTTTACATCTTATATGTAATCCCCAGGCTTCTTCTTAGGCTATAATTTTTCCATTTTCCGACTAAACTACTATAGACACAGTCAATGACTATCCCATTAAATTGGTGCAATATATATATATATATATATGTATGTACATTTTTGAAGTTTCTTGAATCATTAGTTAAACTTGTTCTTTACGCCTACCTAATACAGGCCAAGACTTCCCGTAATGCCTGTAGTTTACAACTTATGTGTAATCCCCAGGCTTCTTCGTAGGTTAAAATTTTTCCATTTTCCGACTGAACTACTAATAGATACAGTTGATGACTATTCCATTAAATTGGTATATATGTACTTTATTGAAATTTCTATTTCTTGAATCATTAGTTTAACTTGTTCTTTATGCCTACCTAATACAGGCCAAGGCTTTCCGTAGTGCTCAACCAGAAGATGAAGATTCAGAAGACGACTTCAGCGATGATGAACTGCATTCAGCCCTCAATGAAGTCGACCCATTTATTTTCTTTATCGACACAATAGGAGGTAGAAGAGATAATCTTTTCTGACGATCTCTACCTACTGATCAGATCATTTCTTTCACACTTTCACTAATCCACTTGGCTCGCCTTGCAGCTCTACAAGCTTCAGACCCGTTGCGGTTCCAAAATCTCATGCAGACGCTCGACAACCATTATCAGCAACTTGCCAATTGCGTAGCGCAGCACGCCAACCTGAGAAAAATCGAAATCGAAAGGAAAAAAAGGGAGAAGGCCACAGCGCCAGCCGGTGCACTCTTGTGATATAAAATCTATTCCTGCTTTCTATATCCTTTGGTTAGCCTCCATGGAAACTAACAGTCGATACATTTCTCTCAAGCCCCGGCTGCCTGCGTAGGTAACAATCATTCTCTACGGCTTTCTTGCTGATCGCTCTTATGGATTTTATGGTAGATAGGAATTTGGGCACTGCGACATCGAGTTTGGGAGACAGCTGGATAATCGACTACCTTAGAGCTCGGCCCCCTTCCGAGGGTACCATTTTTGTACAATGCATAGGAGTTTATTCGAGGTAAAATTTGTCATATATTGGGGAATAAAAATGATATTTTTCTCCTCTTTTTTGTGGATCGTATGCTTTGTTGAGGTTGTGTTGTGTTGTGTTGTTGCGTTGCCATAAATTTTACGTCACATTTTTTGGGTGGTCATGTTCCTATCCATTCATTTTTATTATTTTTGGTTAATGTATAGAGATTTTTTTTGTTGCTAATTGCTATTTTTATTTGCATGTGGATTATTGACTTGTACTGTCTTTTTTTATTGATTTGGATTTGTAGTACAATTAGGATAACATGATTCTCAATAAATATTATTAAAATATAATATTAATATATATACTCCATGAAAAAGTTAAGTTAACCAATATAAAATATTACACCTCCGTTCATATTAAAAATATTATAATATTTTTGTACAAATATTCTTCTATTAATATTATAAGACACTGATAGAAATATTTGTGCAATACATTTTTTTTTTATTTTTACATTTTGATATAATAATTAATATTCAAATATCAATACTCATATTCTTAAAAGCTGGATGGATGTAATATTTTTTATATTATTGGCATAATTTTTTATATCTAATATTAAAAATATATTTATTGAAAAATACAAAATGAACATGTAAATGAATTTTAAAAATTGTACTCTTATCATATATAATGTATATATATCACTTGGTGTGTGGGACATAATTTTGTTTTCGCATATAAGTGTGTACTTTTGGCACTTGTGAAGATATTTTTATCCAGACAATTTATTAAACTACTCACTATACATGAAATATTAATATTCTTTTATAGTATAAAAAGTAAAAAGCATATAAATATGAAACGTATACACATGGAATATATTATGGGTATGTGTAAGGCTATTAGCCAAGGTAAGACAACTAGTGTGTGAATACTTAAGGAGGCTAATTAATTAGCACATAAAATATAAAACATATATCACATACTATATAAATTATTTTGTCATCAATTGTCATATACTATACTCAATACGAAAATTAAGAAATAATAATAATTTAATATAAAAATTAAATATATAAAAAATTAAATAAGAGTATTATAAAAAAAAACCAAAGTTTTAATAATAAAATAATGGAGTAAATAAAAAATACAGCAATAAATTAATTATTACTGCCTCTAAAATCTCATTTATTTTTTTGCCGTATTAATCTTTAAATATTAATTATTCTATCAAAATATAATATAAATTAAAAATTTTTATAAAAAATATAGTATAAATTAAAAAAAAAATTGCAAAAATACTTCAATTAGCATCTCATAATACTAATAGGACATTTGTACAAAAAAAATAAAAATTTAATATCAAATATAATGAAGCAAAAGATAAATAAAAGTATTTGTTAAAAATAAAAATAATAAACTTATAAATCAATAAAATTATATACTATATATAAATGAATTATTTATAAATTACGGGACAACAAAAAAAAACAAAAGAAATAGTATTATATTTTTATTATATAGACATATACCTCATATTTTGAGTTTATATTTCATAGCCTGACGAACCTGATACCATGCGATTTAAGCCCGACAGACAAGTCATACGCGTCAGGGGTTTGAACCCATAACCACACGGTCATAAGTCTACCCGACACCACTAGGTACTCCCTCCCTCACAAGACAATTATTTTACTTCTTCATCTTCTACATAGATGTATGAGTAAAACATCATACAAATAATTACAGCCACATATATATATATATTATATATTTATGTAATGCATAGTGTAGTGTAAGCGTAGAGAACATCATAAAACAGTGTATGACTGACCGACTCACTGACTGCACTTATGTACATAAAATAACAACCTTCATAAAACAGCAGCAGCAGCAGAAAAAAAAGGGAGGAAGAGGGAGTCAAGAACAACACCAATGTTCTCTCTCTCTCTCTCTCACTAAAAAAGTTAGGTATTAAGACATTATCATCACCTGAGTGCATTGGAGTCGCGCTACTCTACTCCACTCTACTAGACTTGGGCTCTGAAGCACCTCCGTTCATCCTAGCACGCGCCTCCGCAAACATTCTCTGTTGCTCTGCTAATGCCTCTTCCTCCGTCATCTCTGCTCCGTTGCTCCATTTACCGCTTCTCATGGTGTCCTGTGTCAAACTGCTTGTCAAAAGATAGAGAGAGAAACAGGCAGAGAGAGACTGGGAGAGAGAGAGAGAGAACTGAATACCAGAGTCTCAAGCCTGTGCTGCTCATACGCCGCACAAACTTCGTCGGTATACTCCGGAAATCCGAGAGCCTAACACATAATTAGCAATAGAGATTCTCAGTTTGAAATTTTGTCAGGACAGGATAAAAGGCGGAGAATCAATGGATGTCCGCAGTTATAGCTGTGAGGATAAATGCAAATACCAGACGTAAAAGGGGCACTTATTCTGAGGATGGTTAATTATATGACAGATGTTTCGATAAAACTACAATACATCAAGAACTGTATTCAAAGCCCTACAAGGATAAAAATGGTGCAAGAGAGAAACGAACGTTAACCCCAATCCTCGCCATCTCAGGTTTTTACTCAATTCCGAAAAGAGAAACCATCCACCATGTGCATACGATAAATGATAAAAAACATCAAAATATTTCATCTTTAAACCTCAAATGATTAATACAGACCGACCACAGACAAAATGGTTTGCGGGTGTATAAACACTAAGGAAGAGCTACAATAACTAATTTTCATAAGATGATATAAATAAAACGAAATTCACAGTCAGCCCTGTCGTCCAAAAAGGCATCAAAGCAAAAAAAAAAGTATTGGGGCAGTTATTTGAGTTCATCTTCGGCTCACTATATTCATCCTATAAAACACCATATTGGGACTGAAGATTCAAATGTTGCAGAAATCCTTGCTATCTCAGAAATACTCGAATGTGCTTTGGTACAACTAGGTGCTTTTCCACAAATTATTGTTGAGAAAGAAGAATTGCAAATATTTCAGTTTGGCTTTAACTATATATCTCTCAGTCTCGTTTTTCAGTTTCTCCATACTACTAAACCCTATTTCCAGCTCTCATTCCATATCATCCATGTAATTCTATCTAAAGGAGCTCCTATATTCCTTGGATGGTGATCCACCTATCTTATATTATATTTGATGCGTCTTTCCAAAATAATAATAGCAATCCAGTTAACTATGTTTAGGTTACATAGTTTCCCAATAGCAGAACATACACAAGATGATAATATGATAAATCATAACAAAATTAGCATTATGATTAAACACCTCTAAGGCCTTGATTACATGCTCTGGTGCAATTGTTCTTTTCTCTTCCTTGTTACAAACTTCGTTGGATTCTGAAGACAGAAGATTAATAAATTCTGCAAAACAAGGAAAACTTGCAAATTATTTAACCTCTTATTGAAATGGAAGTTCATGCTAAGAAGGAACTCATAGTAAATAATTCCAAGAAACAGTATAATGTATAACAAGACCGGTACAACATTCAACAGTAGTTGATATGTGTATCATGGACGGCATAAGCTCATTACTAACCTTTAAAAGAAAAAGAAAAAAGAAGCTCTCTACTAATCTTGCATCATGGTGTGTTTCTTTATTAAGGCGCAAGAATTTTACTCATCTTGAGTGCCTGTTGCCTAGATGCATGGCATACCATGGTTCATACAACTTTTAGACTTGTGCAGGTTCATTCTATTCTCAGTTTTTTTTTATAGATGTTGAATGGAAAATAGATGTTTTGGGAGGAACCATGTTGCATAATGTGATATTTTGAATAGAAATAGATGTTGAATATAGTATTTTTGGAGGAAAATTTGGAGGTTGAATAGTATTTTGAACTAGTTAAAAACACACAAGAAACCGTTGGTTTTGTTTACTCTGAGTGTTCTTTCAATTTCATTACTATGCAACTTCGTAGTTCCTAATAAAGGGAAAAGAAATACCAATTTTCTATACAAAACATCAAACAACTATTTCACCCAAAATTCTAGATAAGTTTTTTAACGATGGAGATATGTTAAATCATAAAAAGGATATTATTTTATTTGTTAACATATCCCCGTGTAACTTTAACTTGTAGTAAAAATGAATTTCATTTATCAACAATTTTAAGTGCACAAAGCACAGAACCATTTACTGTCAGATAAAGAATCTTTGAACCATTATGTGCCATGCAGCATGAACAACTATGATTCAATCTATCAACTAAAATTGAATGAGGCAAACAACTATTATTTAGTTGCCCCGTTACCTTTTTCAATCAAACAAAAAGTAAGATATTTAATGACTTCATGATATAATATCATATAATATAACATTTAATGGAGACAAACAAGAAAATACGCACCTACACAACATTTAATTAACAAATCTTGTGTGTCCCTTGCAACACGAACATCTGGAGGGAGCATCTCCTTAATAATTTTTGTCATAGTTGCTGCAAGAGAATAACTGTCAATTAGAACTTATGATAATAACTTGTCATTCAACATAACAACTGATTGGATATTTTCTTTTTAAATTTGAATTTAGCATTTGAGAATCATATTGGGAACTTAATATGATAATTTGAAGAGTCAAACATCAATGGATACAAATATAAAGAAAAGAGAAATAGTTTAATTTATCTTGATAGTTTTTAAATTCAAGCAATACCAAGTAATATATCATTCTTTGATTGATGAGGTGTTTCTTTATTTTCCCGCCATATTGATTATGTATAGATTACTTGCAGGGATTTAGAAAATATGTATCAAGAATTTATAGATATGTGTAGCTTAGTTCTAAGTTATAACTATTCATTGCAATTTAATTATAAATTCTTATGGAGAACCGTGAACTTTCATAAATTATGATAGGAGTATCCATAAAATCTGTTTTAAAGTAAAATATACAAAACTTAAACCATTCAATACATATTCAGGAATAAAACACAGTAAGAAAAATAAAAATAGATAATTGTAATAAGTAATAACAAATTAAACATATTCTAAATTCTATTACTCTGTCCGTTCGGTAAAATTATGTCACTTTGTAATTTGCTTATTAGTTGTCACGAATCATTTTACTTATCAATGCCCTAGATGAAATCTGCTGTTTTATATATATAATGTATAATAAAATAGCTAATGTTCTACTAACATTTATATGAAGGTTTAAAATTTCAGAAAAGTCCGAAAGAGAACAGCCAAATAAAAAACTGAAATCAAACTTAAAAAAAAAAAAAAAAAAAAAAAAAAAAAAGAAAAAAGCAGCCCAATAATGGGGAAGGCACAAAAAGTATCATATATATATATTTAAAAAAAATGAAAAAAAGATATCAACTATAAAGTTTGACATAAATCAGTTCAGATAAAATTCCAAATATGTGAATCATGAGAATATTAAAACATTGACATGGAAAAGGAAACAAACAGAAAACCAAACCTTTAGGAAGAGAAGCATCCTCTTTTGTTCTACCAACAATGTCCATAGGCTCCATTTTAACCTTCAAAATGCTAAATGCAAAATATATAAATAATCACAAACCTTGGTAAGATAAATATACTTAGAAAGAGAGTAAAAGTAATAAATTTGGGTAATCTTTATGTGATAGGCAAACATTGAGAAAAGATTGATTTATTTAGTTAAGCCGTTTAAATAAGCTGATCTGCATTTAGAGTTGAAATTGATTTCAGCCAATTTAGAATAGACATAACGAAGAGATGTTCATGGGCATGGCAGATGACTAAGGCAGGAATCCAACTTAAGTGCGTTCAAGAAGATTCAACACAATTTGATGCGCATGCATTTATAAATTTTCTAATAATGAGAGAGAGAGAGAGAGAGAGAGAGAGATTACAAGGACATCCTCACAGAGATAAATAATAAAATTATAAACATCAGAACCATACATGAAGCCAAACTAATAATTTTACACACATTATTACAGAGCACTCTGACGAGGAGGTAGGAACAATGCATGGTTAATTTTACATAAGTGACAATGAGTATCTGAATATTGTATATCTGCTTCAATACAGTGTTAAGTGAATTAAAGTTTTTCATGAGAAGTGGAAAAACACCGATCATTAGCAAAGCAAGAAAATTACTCCAAGAATGAAGAGCTTATTGCATATGTACTGCTCATGCAGTATAATAATTGATTTAAGCTTCCTTACTATAGAACTCACCGTTCTCACCAAAGGAGTTGAAGTCCACAAACCAATACTAATTGGAATTGAAGCTTGCTCTTGGCTCCTATAAGCAGCACTCTAAATATTTTAACATGCTATACTGAATAAATTTTTATAATACGTTAAGTATAAATTCTTTTTCACTCTGAAAGAACAAAGTCAGAGCTTGTTATTTTTTGGGTAATAATTATGGTGTTTTTCAGCATTTCTGTGCCAATTGATGCAGAAAAGGCGACTTTACTTTCCACCAGTACCAATATCTACACAATGAAACGAGATGCCTGTACGAAAACTGAGGCCGACCTTGCGCGTAAGTACCGCAAACCTCTAACACATCAAAACAATTTCATATCCCAAGGCACCAAATTCCAAAATCTCACACTAATCGAAACACAATTCCTAAATTAACAAAAACAATACCAAACACATGGTATTGATGTAGAACAAGAACTGTGCACATACGCCACAGACCAATTCATAAAATTACGCAAAAAATTAGTAGAAATAACAACGCGGTGTTCGAACCCTAACTGGTATTACGTAAATCGATGAAAAAGTAAACAAAAGATTAAAACTTGCGTCACCTTGATAGAAACGGCGGCTTCCAATTAAGATCCAAGAGGGGAGCGCCGTTGGCAAGCCTGCAACTGTAGCCGCGCAGCGTGTGAGGGTTTCGAGGTGTAAACTTCGCCGTGCTGAGCTCGTCGGATGCGTAAAATATGAGATTTACAGTCTGTTTTATTTAGCTGCTTGTTTTTATTTTATTTTATTTTAATTTTTAAATATATATTTTTATCGAATATATTATTATTATTATTATTATTTTAATAAAACTTATTATCGTTGCTATCCAAAAGTGTCCAATCCGCAAACCCGGCCCAATATTATTATTATTATTATATGTTGAAGGCCTTTTGGGCATCAGTGTCAAGGCCTCTTTTCTTTCTCTATTTTCGATATAGTTAGTAATAATTTAATTTATTCCGTCGATATTTTTTATTTTATTATTTTATTCTTTTAATAAAATTAATTTTTAATTAAATACAAAAATCATTTTATTTTTAATTTTTATATTATTTTTATTTTAATGTTATAAGTAAAATAAACATTATATTATTTTATTAAATTGTATATTTATAAAATATTAATTTACTTTAATTTAAGTGCAAAATTTAAGTGAAAAATTTATTGATGGACGAAAAGAGTATTTTTAATAAAAATTTACAATCTCTGACCACTAGTGTAATTTGTTTTATATAGATTTAAGGGTGTATTTAATTCAAATTTTTAAAAGTTTTTTAAAATGCGGAAGTATTCAACAAGTTTTTTAAAAGTTTTTAATTTTTGGGTGTATTCAATCAAACTTTTTAAAGTGTAGGGTGTGTTTGGAATTAATTCTCATTCTCTCCTCAATCCCCTTTAAACGCCTGCTTAAAATATTGACATATTCAACAATTCAGACTTTTAGAGATTTTGATGTATTTTTAAAATTTGAATTATTATTATTATTATTATTGTTCTTGTTGTTTTTTGTTTTTGTATGGGTGATAAATAATATGATAATATTTATTAATATTATTATAACTTTCAATACAAATAATAATTTCAAATTAAAATATATTAGTGAATTATTATCAATTTTTTTGAAAATATACATTTTTATATTATAAATATAATATTTAAAATTATTATTATCATAATATATATATATATATTATTGTCGTCTTTTCTTTTCAAATTTCTATAAGATATATTAACATGGTATCACAATCTATTTTTCTCCTAAATTAAATATAATATACCAACTCGCATTTCTCCGGGTTGGAATGTATCCGGAGGTCTTCAATTTTGAAATTTTTATTTATGATTTTATGGCATCTACGAAAATTTAAAAATTACATTATTATTGATCATCAAAATAAAAGACTATATATCCACTATGAAACAAACTCGATAGACTCGTATCAAAACAATCTAACCTATGGATAAAACCAAATTTTAATCTAAAACTACCAAATCTAAAATAAATCAAATCAAACTAATGTAAATCTAAAATATCTCAAAATTCTTCCTCAAACTCAAGTAGTGTTGTAGAAACTAACTTGAGTTTGCTTGAATGGATCCGAGTCGGAGCAGCCTGAGGCTTGCAGACGGATACACAAACAGATATGTAGACAGAACTCTAATCGGGAGTCGGAGTTGAACTAAGACAAGACTCTGAATGGAATCAAAGTACAGATAGCACACAGAACACATCACAGACATCGAAAAGATCATAAAAAAGATTGCAGACAATAATCAAATCACTGAACAGATCACAGATATCGGATAGATCACAAAAGATAGATAGCACATAAAATAGATCGCAGGCATCAAATAGATCACAGAACAGATCGCAGATAGCAAACAGATGATAGAACAAATTGCAGGAATCGGATAGATCACATAGCATATCGAAGGAATCAAATGGATCACAAAATAAATGTCAGAAAATAGAGAGATCACAGAACAGATTGCAACCATCGGATATATTACAGAACATATCTCAAACATCGGACTGGTCACATAACAAATTGCATAAAACAGACAAATCACAAAACATATCGCAGCAACAGACATATCAGATAACAGACAAATTGCAGATAACAGACAGATCTACGCAGACGACAGAAAAATCACTGATAAGCAGACCGCTCACAGCTACGCAGACAAGTAGATCACTGATAAGCAGACTGCTCATAGTTATGCAGACAAACGGATCACTGATAAGCAAACAACTCACAACTACGCTGAAAACGGATATATCGCAAACACCAGACGGATCGCACACAAGCAGTAGACAAATGGCAAATAGATGACAGATCACAGACAGATTTCAGAGATAGATTTGCAAAGGCATAATCTCAAAATCACAAGACCTTTGGGTACAATCTAGGTTAATGTACCCGGAGAAACGAGGGTTGGTAGACTATGTTTAGTCTAGGAGAAAAATAGGCTCTTGTGATCTATCCGATTTCTGCGATCTATTCGATGTTTGCGATATGTTCTGTATGCTATCTGTCTTTTGTGATCTGTCCGATATCTGTGATTTGTTTTATGATTTGTCTGTTGTCTGCAATCTGTTCTATGATCTATTCGATGAAAGGACTCTGAATCAAAGTCAAACGCAGACAACAAACAGATCGCAAAAATCGGACATATCACAGAACAAATTTATTCAAGCAAGTTTTAGAGTTTCCGCATTTTTTTTTTTTTTTTTTTTTCAGAAAACCTCACAGTAGACAGATCGCAGACAAATCACAAACAACAAACAGATCATAGACCTCCGGATAGATCACAAATATCGGATAGATCACAATAGCAGATAGATCGCAGATAACAGACATATCGCATAACACAAAATTACAGACGAATCTCAAAATTAGGAGACCTCCGAGTACATTCCAGTTTCGTATTCTCCGGCTATGGTGAGAGTTTTTCTGACTCTAATTCAGTTGAAGACAATGCTTTTAATTCTGACATGATGGATGATTGTAGTTGCATCATCTTCGATATCTCTGAGCAAATTCAAGTTGGTTTATGTTATATCACTTGAGTTTGTGGGGGGATGTTGAGAGATTTTAAATTTAAATTTAGTTTAATATATGTTTAGATTAGTTTAGCTTAATTTATTTTAGATTTGTTAGGTTTAGATTTATATTTGATCATATCCATTAGATTAGATTCTACAAAGACCAATTTATAATCACAACACATGACAAAAATGTTTGTTTTGTTTGTTGAGTTGCGTTTAATTGATTTCGTTTATCTTTTTATTTATCATGCCAATTAAGGCTACTGAAAGTATTCCTATGTTAGATGTGACAAATTATTATTCTCAATTAACTTTAATTTTGTTTATAGTGTAACTTGCAAGAATACGAATGAACCTTTTAGATAGGAACTAAAGAAGAAGAAGAAATAATTAATAGATCAAAGCATGACAAAATGTTGAAAATTATTTGTATCAATTGCATAGTTGGTATTATTAATTAAAAATTTGAAAATGATTATTTTAATTAATATTTCAAATTGGATATTGTCGGTTGAGTTGTTGGTAGGTATAGTTGGTTTCGAACATTGGTCAGAGCTCCTCTTGATACGTGGTTATTATGTATCCTACACCAAGGGTCTGAGCAAAAGCATTACGCCACTGCCACCACCATCTTCGATAGAAAGAAAGAGAAATACACTATTATCAATTGGAACGGTCTGTCGAATCTAGCTACATGCAAGTCTCTAGATCTTTTTGTTGGATGTGTCAAACTTCCTTGGAAGATCTAGTCATTGCTGTTGTAAGCTACTTAAAGACGCAACTGTCTGCAACTGGGTCTAATCATGGTCATCCTCGTTGGTTGAAATCTATCTTTAGGGAAAATAATGAATCGAAAGATCTATGCATAAAAAGATGAAAATAAATTTAAGTTCGGCTATGGTAAAAAAAAAAAAAAAAATTGCATTGGGTTTAATTATATATGATCAAAATGGGTGGAAGGGTTTAGGGTTTAGAGTAATGTTGGATATTTTGGCCTTTTGTGGTTCAACCAGATTTGTCCATCATTTTAGATTCGATCCATTTTATAGCCCAACCCATCGGTCCAATCTAATACTAATTTTCTATTATATATAAATTTATCTCTCTATCCATTCCCTACACCATGGCAAATCTTGAGTATGTGTCTCTTTTGTGTGAGTACGATTCTCCTATTTAGTTGGTGTTTTAGGTATTTTAGTGGAAAAACGTCTCAGGCAACTTACAAAAGTTATACAAAAATTGAGCTTCTTTAGGGGATAACAATAATAGATAGAGAAAATATTTTTCTTCACTCCAACTATTCAAAATTACCGATTACTAAAACAGTAGCAGATAAAAACAACTAACATTCAAAAATTCAATATCTCACATTGTAAAATATCCAATATTGAAGAGTCTCTCATATTACATTGAGAGGAGAGTGACTTATATTCACCTACATATGTTGTATGGCAAAAATGACCGGGGAAAAAGGCGACTTGAACAACGATAAACAAATGTAGAACATCAAAATGACATTTGATGACAGATTTGAAGGACATGGTTATTGATGGAGATAATAACAAATGTATACAATAATAAACTTTGGTGACCAACTAAGGCGACGGTGAGACAATGGTTATGACAGATGTGAGAAAGGTCTTCATTTATTTTCCGTAATGTTGAGGGCATTCCAGTAACTTCACATACGAAGAGGCAAGACTAGGTACAAATATGATCTCTAGTGGATAAGAAAAGGAATGCGCGAGAAAAAATGTGTTGCCACTGCTTTGTTTATTTTCTGCGTAGTCTCTTCAAGACGACAATCTACAATGATCTAACAGTCATATTATCTTCATATTTTACATACATTGTTAACTTATTTTCCCACAAGCTGAATGGTGGAGATTGCAATTGCAAAACCAAAAAGTGTGGTATAGCAACGAATGAAACATCTTTGTTCTTCCTGGATTTGTTTAGACCACTTTTAATTTTGATAACGAATAATAAGATCTAAATGTTGGATAAACTGAACTTTGGGTATGTTATTTGTGACATCTTCGAGAAAAAGTTGAATGGTGGAGATTGCGATCGGACATTTGGATAATCGGATTTTGTGGTTCAAATAGAAGGGTGTTGTTGTGAGGTTTTCCTTTTCCATTCATATCTTGTCAAGATTTATTTTATATCT